TGTGACCAAAACTAAAAATTGTAACGAAGTAAACTATTAAAAAGTAAAATTAATTGACTAACTTTTTAGTTAACTAAAATTAGTTGATTAACTTTTTAGTTAACTAAAATTAGTTGACTAACTTTTTAGTTAACTAAAATTAGTTGACTAACTTTTTAGTTAATTAAAATTAGTTGACTAACTTTTTAGTTAACTAAAATTAGTTGACTAACTTTTTAGTTAACTAAAATTAACTGACTAACTTTTTAGTTAACTAAAAATATTAAAATAATTTTCTATCAATTTTCAATGTCAAATGTTTAACAAGATACTTCAAGAAAATATTTCATAAAAATCCAGAAAGTAAACATGGTAAAACACAAATATCTTTAGAATTGAATAAGCTATTAAGGCCAGCGTAAAGGGATAAGAGGATGGGATGGTTGGTTTTGTGTGTGACATCCCATCAATGAACTTTTAGCTCATTTAGTAAGCCAATTTAACTCTTAGATAAGTCAGCAAATTTAGATTTTCAGAACAGTCATTTGGTAGATTTAAAAAAAAAGGATTTTTTTTTCCTTTTTCTAGTCTGCTAAAATTTTAACAGCGCTCTCTACGTGTTACCTACTTGTGCTAGCCCTGTAAGCTACAGTATATTACAAAAATTTGTTTTTATTATGTGCCACTTTTTTGGATTCTAATTATAAAAGTTTTCAATTCTTTGAAAAGTAGGAGGAAAAAAAATAATTTAAATGCATTAGAGAATTTTTGTCGGAATTTCATTTGACAAAAAAAAGTTTGTGATATAATTTCAGTTAAAAAGGTGACAATCAAATCAAAAAAATTTAAGTTATCATTTGATGATGAAGATGATGATTCGAAAAATAATAGTGACAAATGTACGCCTGCTACCAGTGCACCAAGTGAACACCTTTTCTCTGACGCATTAAACACTTTGTATGCAAAGCAAAACAGAATGATAACTGAATGTTTTCAAATGTTGATGTTTTTGTACAAAAATTTGTAATTTTTTAATTTAGTTTAAATTCATTAAATTTAATACTAAAGTTTTTTCTTGTAATAAGTATTTTTTAATACATTTTATTGTTCTTAAATAAATATTATTAAATTTAGTATTCAAACTTTTTTGTGTGATACTGATTTTTTTTTGTTACAAAAATGTAAAAAACTAATATAGTTTTTTAAATTTAAAATGTGTTTAAAAAATGTTAAAAAAAAAGAAAAAATTGAAAATTAAAAAAATTAATGTGTGATTTTAATGTTCTTGAGTGTGCGGTTTTATCATAATGTTGCCTAAAACCGCAAACTTTTTTTTTTACCTTTATTATTTTAGTAGTTTGATTATTTTTTTATAAATATTTATTCATATATTCTTTAGTATTTCTTTAAACATCTATCTAATGAAAAAATATAGCTATGGTTATTAATGTTGCCCCAATAGCATTTTTAGTATAAAGTCTAGGTATATAGAATTAATAAAAGTAAATGAAAAGCTAGTATAGAAGGTTTTATTCAACAAATTAATAAATATATAACATAAAGATACAATCATTATTTTACATAAAAAAACACAATAGTTATCAAATACTAGCAGTAAGTGATAAAAATCAGCACTCTGTCAGCAAGAATATAGCCACCAGTAGTAATATGTCTTATACACAATCACCCAGTCAGGAGATAAAAAATTAGTTGCCCCAGCTGGTTTTTATTATACACCACTTAGACATTTAATGATATTGATATGTTTATAACTAAACCAAGTTTGCTATTGTGAAGTAAATTTTTTTTTATTATATTGTGCTTTATAAGCACAAAATAAAGATGGTCTTCCGAAATCAAGTGTGAGTGAAGTTAGTTTTAACTTTTTTAAAGAGCTACATTACTATTTAAGAAAAGTCTGAAAAAAAATTCTTTTGTTATCTGATGTTAGATTTTGGTATGAAATATGTTTACAGGTCTTTTAATTTCAATATTTCAATTAAGTTTATTAATTAAAAAATGGAATGTTTTAAATAAAGTTTAAAATTCTTCTTTATAAATATTATGTTAAAAATATTTAAAAATAGTAGACTTATTATTAGATGGTTTGGTGTCAATTTATTTTCTCAGTGTATCAAGCTCTATATCGTAGATGATAAAATTGATAAGGATCCTTGTTTATATACTTTAGCATACTTTTCTTTTCACTTTTTTGCATCGAACTAGAAATTGGAGCAACTTCGATATTATGAAATGCAATGGATTACTTTAATCCAGTCTCTATATCATGGATTAGCTTTAATTCAGTCTCTATGTCTTTTTCTTTTAAAAGCTGATTTTCCAAAAGAAAATTTAAAAATTTTAAATCCACATTAGTTTTCATATCTTTTTGAGTAACTAATGACACAACAACTGGTTGAAATAATTTAATTTTTGTGAAAAAATCAATAAGTGAATAAGTTTCCTAACAAATCATACAAACATCTTAATGTATTTTGCTAGAAAATTTCTGATTATTTGTTTTTTTCTGCCTACAAGTATGCACGCACAAGTTTTTTGAAAACGAGAGTGTAAACATTTGCAAGTCATCTATATTTTTGTAAAATAATATAAATTTCAAACTAACTAAAAAATTTTATGAGGACTCTGCAAAGCTTTTTTTTTTTTAATATTGTGTTATTTCTTTTTAATATTGAGCATGGTAAATTGCTATGTTTTTTGCTTGTTTTTTCATTTTTATTTTCAATATTGTATGATAATTAAGTTTTACATTGTATTTGTCAATATTGGATTAAATTGCCCCTAAGAACTTTTTTTATATCCTTGCATACTAAAAAAAAAAAAACTAAAATTACAGGAAATTAATATAGTTTTTAAAAAAAAATTTTAAATTTCACAAATAATCAAATTAAAATTTCTGAAAATGTTGTCATAAGTAAAAGATTGTCATATTTAAGTAAAAAGGTTTCTCTAAAGTTATGAGGATCATAGTAAAAAATCAGAACACAATCCAATATGGAGGCTCCTAAAATCTTTCTGTGTAGGGGGCATGTGTTTTTTAATTTGACTTTTTGACCAGAGTCTTTGGCAGTTAAGTATGAGCTTATTATGTCCTATAGCTTTTATTATGTCATTTTCTTGACTTGATTTCTTCTATCCTGTTGTTTCCTAATTATTGGTTTTTGTTTTAAATATTATTTAGGTGTTATCAGTTTTTGTGACATTTGTATTTTTTAATGAATATTTTAAGCTTTTGATGCTGACATTGAGGGTTCTGCAATGAATTTTGATGTTGCTATTGGTAATCGTAATTGGATATTAAAAAATAATGTTACTCTTCCATCGCATATTGACCGTAAGATGATGTCTTTTGAAGAAAATGGAGAAACAGTGGTTTTAGTTGCTGTAAATGGTAAAGATTAAAAGATAATTGTCTTTGTTATGTTTGTTTTTGAATAAAAACTACATCTGTTTAATTTTGTATGCATTTTCATAATATATTTTGCATGTTTATTAAATATGGTTTGGATTGTATATATGTTAGAAGAATTTTTACATAAAACAAAGAAACTAATATGAAAAAAATAGTGTAAAAAAAAGGTATCAAACATTGTTTTTCATTTATAAAAGCTAAATTAAATTTAATATAAGTTTTGTAATTGAATATTTGATTACAATATTTATATGGTTTTAAAGTTGAATTGTAAAAGATTCAAGTATTTCAAAGCAGACAGTTGTCTGAATTGTATTAAATTACTTGAATCAAGAATTTATTTCAGATGAAGTAGGATGAGTCTGTTTATATGCATCATGTAGATTTTAAAAACTTGCCTCGTTTTTTAAATATTGAGGAAAAATAAAATTTTATAATACATTTATGCAGTACATTGATTTTTAAAAAACCATTACAACTTTTTTTTGTAATATTAACTTGTACATAGTAAAAATAATACTATTTTAAGTTAAATATAAATCTCTTCATTTTTTCAATATGTACTTTGTATTGTAATAAATATTAATTTCTTTGTTTAGGGATTTTGTTAGGAATGGTGGTTGTAGCAGATAAAGTAAAACCAAGCGCACAAATAGCAGTCCAAACACTCATCAATATGGGATTACATGTTGTGCTCATGACTGGAGATAATAAAAAAACAGCAAATGCAATTGCTAATGAGGTATTAATTATATTTTACATTAAAATTACTTGATTGATAAAAATGGTTGGATAGATTATGAGTGTGTGTTTACAAGTTTTAAATTTTTTTTTTTTTTTTTTTTAGTTATATATTTTCTTTTTAGATTGGTATAGAAGATGTGATGGCAGAAATGTTGCCCTCGCATAAAGTTGCAATAGTAAAGGAGCTTCAAAGTAAAAATGTCAAGGTAGCTATGGTGGGGGATGGAGTAAATGACTCACCTGCACTTGCTCAAGCAGACGTTGGAATAGCAATAGGCAGTGGTACAGATGTTGCTTTGGAAACAGCTGGAATTGTTTTAATTAAGGTGCTGATATAAAATTCTAAATAAGTTTTAACTTTTATTAGGTATATTTTGTTTGTTTTTAAAATTATATATTTATAAGTTCTAATTGTGGTTACAATCCTCTCTCAACCCTTTAGGTCCCAATCATAAGTGTGCAGTACCCTTTATAAACAAGGGTACTGCATACTTGATAAACAAGGGTACTTAAGAAACATAAGCCTTGATGAACTAAGGTAAAGCCTTTTCCTAGTACTACCAGAAATGTGATGGGAACTTTTTTCTTATGTATGTTCTGAATGTTGCAATGAAGTTAACTTTGTTGAATGAAATTTTTACATGATTGTTCTACTTTTTAAATTTGATATTTTTCTGAATTGCAGAAAAATATCAAATTTGAAAGAAAAGAGCTTGGAACACGGTTGTCAATTGTTTCAGTAAATAAATTTTACACATTTGCTCCAAAAAATTTCTGGCAGGGAAGTGGGTTATGCCTTGACATCTGAGCTAAAATGAAGATAGGCATTCAAGTATTTATGAAGGATAAAGGTATAAATACCAGTTTATTTAAAAACTTTAAAGACCAATTGGTTAGTAGCTGATTTGCACAAAGCATATGTTAACAGTTTTCCAAAATTTTATAAAAAATGATTTAAACATTCATTAAAATAACTTTATAAAATGTTTAAATATAGCTTCATTTAGTGATTGCAGATAAGGACTTGTATAACAATATTATATCATTTTGAAGATAAAGATCCAATACAGAAATTGCATAATTATGGGATAGGTGGCCATTATTATATTCTATTCTATTCATCCATTGTTCTTTAATAATTTTTTCTATTTAACTGTTGTTATTTGATATTTCTTTTTAAACATTCATTTTCATTTTTAATCAATTGATTCATTTCAATCAATTGTTATTATGTTCATTTGGTTTGATCGTTATTTCATTCATTTTGTTTAATTATTATTCTGTTTGTTTAATTCAATAATTATTTTGTTCATATTTAGTTAGTAGTAGACTTTATTGTTTGAAAAAAAAAAATGTTCTGTGCGTTCATGAATTTTTAATTGTTAAAAAGTTCATGAACAGTAGCAGTAAGAGCAGCACCTTTAATTAAAATTCTACTTTAATAGGACTTTAGCTCTGTAGTTTAAGTTTGTTAAAATATAAAAAGTTAAAATATAAGTTGAACTTTGATGAAAATCTATTAATAAAATTATTATAATTGTTATCAAAAATACTTTTGTTTTGTTTATTGAATTATCTCTAAAAACTTGACACAAAGGATGTCATGCAAAAAGAATATGAACCATTTTTTTAAACATAATTAAACAGCTTTCTTCAAATTTGTGAGTACAAACTCATATTTTTAAGCCTTATCACACACCAATGCACCAGTCCTGGATCAAGGGAGGGGCTATAGCCCCAGGCCTCGCAAATTTAGGGGCCCCAAAAAATTTTAGAGGACCTTTTCTTTTTTTTAGTCATTTTTAGGCTCTGGCCCATAAAAAGGCCTCCAAAAAACAAAAATAGTCCCAGGCCCCAAGAAGTTATAATTCGCCACTGCAATGCACTCACCTATGATATGCCCATGTACGTTATGTGCACTATTTGCACCATTTGCCTGTTTCAGAAATTTTCAATGAAAATAACAACAAAACATGATATGATGCGAGGAATTTAAAATGATTAGAAAGTTTAACCCTTTTCTGACAAGTGACCTGCACCACAGTGCATAAAATCTGTTCCTAAATGACAAGTGAACTATCTGGCAGTCCATTAATAATTTTAAATTTTTCTGACCATCTATAAGGGTTTGAGAAAACTATATGTATCTGACATAGGAATAATTTCTAATGTTGGTACTTCAAACTGTTTGTTATTTGCATTTATAGTCAAAAAAATAATTTTGAAAAATTGCTAAAAAGCAAACAAGTTATACTGATATGAATGAGGTCCTTGGTATTTTATTTGATGATAGTGATGGAGATATGATGCAATACTGATATTGATCTTGGTGACTCTAGTGATCATGAAAGTATTTTAGATAATGTAAACGAAGAACTGCTACCCTTGTCTGAGGGTCTACTAGTTCAAATCTTAATTTTACCTTCACCTTCCATCAAAAATACCCCTATAAATCAAAATTTCTTGTTTCACAGCCCCTGAAATGTGTGAGAACCAGAGGTGGAAGTAAAAATGTAAGTGGCCTAAATTCTTTTGATCGTGTTGCTCTAGATAGAGGGGCTTGTCATAACCTACAATCACTGAAGCCAAATTAAGGTTAGGTTCCCTTGTGTTCGTGGTGGTCGATCACATTAACAGATTGGTTGTGTTGTTCCTGATTAAACTGAATTATAGTTAGAATGGGACCATGATGATGCTGATAATGTGGAAAAATCTAATGACACTTTTCCATTTTTTTCTACTGAAGGTCTAAATGTTAGAATAGGAGAAGATTCTTGAGCAATCACCCAGAAATAGTCAATAAATCTAAAGAATTAGAAAGCTGTTACAGTTGTTAAAATAAAAACCTTTTTTGGTCTAATTATATTAATGTGTATATATTGTACAGAAACCAAATTTGAATATGTATTGGTCTACCAAAATAATTGGACAAAACATTTGGTGTCCAATATTGATTGGACACCAAATGTTTTGTCCAATTATTTTGAAAACCATGTCTCCAGACCGTTTCAAGGTTATCCTTAAATTTCTTCATTTCAATAATAATAATAATCTTAATCATGATCTTAATGATCATAATATAGATCGATTGCATAAGGTCATACCTCAACATGAAAGGGTGGTTGAAAAGTTTACAGTTGAGGACACTTCATTTGAGTTCTTTTTAAGGGCAGATTTCATTTTTTTCAATATATAAAGACAAAAAGAGCAATTTGGAATAAAGGTATATGAGTTGACTACAGCTGATGGTATTACACTTGATTTCCTAGTGTATTGTGGTACTGGGATGTATGATGATGACAAAAATTCTGCCATGCCTTCAAGCCAACATATACCAATAGAGC